AGTTTTTTATTGCCAGGAATAAACTTGAGCTTAGATATAATAAATAAGACCAATTCATGTTCAAAGTCATCTTAATAACATATGACCATCATCCCAAATTTCACATACGCGATTGAGTCCCACTAATAATATCATAATGTGTACAGTGCGGATGGTACATGAAAACATCTATACTAAGTACTCCATAATAACCTAAGCAAGCAATGAAAATTATGCTACAGCTCATCAATTAAACACATACTTGATCACAACAAACAAATTCAAGTATATTATATGTTGATGTCAAAATTAGCAAGGATAATTTTGAACCAACTTTAAGAAAAAAGACAATTTGTGTTTAGAAAAGATCACAAAGATGACATTTTTAGTGTGATTGTGCCATAAGTCATTATATGAATTTGCTTTGCCTTTATAAGGGTCCTATTCAACTATTTATACATAGTTTCAGTCGAAATTATATCAAATCAATCAAATCAGCAACAGTGCCGAGCTCGGAACTCGGGTCGCCGAATTCTCCTATGATTAGTCAATGAGGCCGGTGGTCATGTGTCAATGTATTACCCAAGTAATGATGACCTGTAAGGGGTTGGAGTTTGAGGACTTGGAATTGGTAATTCCGGGCGACGATGACATCACCTGTGGCAAGTGTCTCTGATTGATAGGGTGATGTGACAAGGGGTAATCATGATATTTTTCTAAGATAACGGCGGGTAACTCCGACCTGGGAATGTGGGCCGAACTTACATTTAACTGAGGTAGGGTTAGCGAACTATTTTTACCAGATCGGAGTTCGAATGTCAACAGTTACCCCCCAAGATAGCTCTACCGTAGGGTGGCTGACCTCAATGATGCTTTCTCCAAAAAGTACATTTATGGCTATGACAAGTGTCATCTTTTGAGGTGGATGAGCTGTACGCCATTTATAAATAGCTTCTTCAGCAAGCTTGGCCAAAACTACGTCGTTTTATCTCCTAGACTTTTGGATCGTTGATATTTTCCCTCTATTTTTGGATGAATGGCTCAGATCGCGCCCTCTCATCTTCCCTTTCTTTAAATCCGATTTTGGTCAATCATTTCTCTTCCTATTTCACTGATTTTACTTTCTCAGATATTTGGGCAATTTTCCTAAGTTCGTATTCCAGTATTCGAGTGAAGTCATTTTCTCAGTTCGTCTTCCGGTATCCTTCTGTTCTTATCTGCTGCCTCCTTTCAATTCTTATCTTCTGCCTCCTTTCAATTTGTGCTTCTTTTCTTAGTTTATACATGAATTCGGACGAGTCTAGAGTTCATTCATGGGGCAACCAGCAAGAAGAGTCAGTCTCCTTCTCGATGAGTTCGTCTTTTAGTTGTAGGGAAGTTTTTACCCCCATTCATATTTCCGTAGTTAACCCAACTGACCTAGGGCATCCTGTGATGGACTTAGGACGTGAGGGTTCCAAGGGAGCAGGTAGATCCAGTAAGGATGTTGAGGAGAGTAATTCTAGGGAGTGGGGGCGAGTTCTTATAGGTCGGTTGTGACAGGGGATGTGTTGGCCAGCTGGCGAGCTAAATACGTCATTCCTAGTTCGGTAGTTATGATAATACTAGAGCCATCTGACCGAGCTGACACTCCTCCCGAGGGATGTGTTGCTCTGAACTCGACTATCCTCCAGGCTGGCCTTAGGCTTCCTTTTCCGAGGGTGATTCGTAAATTTCTTTCTTCTTGGGGCATAGCTTCCACGCAACTATGCCCTAACGGGTGGCGAACCTTAATAGCCACCCTTATTATGTGGGACCAAATTCGAAATCCCGAGCTGAGTGTCCAACAATTCGATTCTCTGTTCACTTTTAAGGAGGATGGGAAGAACTCGGGCTGGTGGTACACAAACGTTAGGCCCAGGATGGGAGGTTCTTTGGTGTTAGACACCATTTCCTCAATTAAGAAATAGAGGGAAGAATGGTTTTATGTATCGAGGGAGTGGCAATTTCATTCTACCAAGGTGAATAGGGAGGACGTGGTTTCCAGGCTCTATCATTCGTTATGTAAGTGTCTTTTTGGATTTTAGTCTTTTAGTAAGGCGTATGTTTGAAGAAGTGCTGACCTCGGTATTTTTCTTTGTGCAGATTACAAGAAGGAGATGTTAATCAAAGATACTCAGAGACAAGCTGAGAAAATAAGATTGTTACCTAAAAAGCAAAGGTCTTGTAAGTTTGTAATCTCAGATTCGAACTTACACCGGGCCGGACTGCTGCAAGTACGAGCTTCAAGTTCGGCTCTATCCAGTTCAGGTAATATTTTGATCTTCATTCGCAGTTATAATTTCTTTATGCATATACATATTTTTTGAGTATTTTATTTTTTCTCAGGTCATCAGGATGAAATGTGGGGCTACAAGGCAGCTAAGGCGGAGGCAGCAGCTAAGGAGAAAAAGGGAGAAGTCCCAGAACGAATGGAGAGCATTTCTAAAGAGGTGGAGGAGGAGGTTTCGTTAAAGAGGAACCGATCTGCGCCCCCGGCATCACTAAGAATTCCAGAGGCAGTGCCTTTGCTGAGCCCGACCCTGCCGTCTCCCTCGTTGCCATCCCCGATTGCCCCTTCTACTGTGGGGACCAGTTCTGTGAACTTGCAGGATCGGTGCCCAGATTTATAAAGGCCGAGCTGGGAAAGTCTGGTGGGACACAGATCAGAGATATTTCTGGACTATCTCCGAGCTCCTTCTCCTTCCAGGGGTATGACTGTCGCGCTCACTTCACCTTTAAGGGAGTCGACCAATCTACTTACCCAGAGCTAGGGTGAGAGAGAGCAGGGCTATCTGAACCAGATGCCCATTGGTGAGGCTTTGGCCACTGCTCAGCTCCATGGCCACCGATCAGTTTTATACATGATGGCAGTGGCGGATAAGGTATACCTCTTACTTGATTTTTGATTAATTTTATAAATGCCTTAATGACTTACTTGATTTTTGATTTTTGAAAAACAGGTGAAGTCCGAGCTGGACAAACTCATAGAGGCAAAAGATCAGGCCTTCAACCTTTACAATAGCATGGAGGTTGAAAAAGCCCAGTTCGCTCTAAGGGAGAAGGAGTATGAGGAGAAGCTGAACTCCAGGCTTGATGTCGATGAGAGACTGATGGAGAAAATCAAGGCGTTGAGGGCCTCGGAGGAAGAGGCCAGAGCTCGGGCAGAAGAAGAGCGCGACAAAGTTAGAGAGGTCATCTAGAAGGTACAAGAGGCCAACGAAAGGGCGAGGCAGGCCACAAAAAGGGCTGAAGAGGCTGAGGCCAAGATTGACAGGGCGGTGGAGGCCTGGAAGGAGTCCTCCAAGTTTGACGTGGTGGCCCAGGATGTGTATGTGGTGGCCCTAGAGGAGTTGGTGGGGGCACATCAAGAAGGAGAGGCCTGATCTTGATGTGGCCTTTTTGGATGAGGCACTGGAAGAGCAGAAGGATGAGTTGCGAAAGTTGTCGGAGTCTGCTGGAGTCCGGGTGTTACTGGCAGCTCAGGATATTGAAGATACTACCCTTGCCCCCTAAGACCCTTAGACGATTTAAAAAACATTGATTTTTTGGTTTTCTTAGACTTGCGTTTTGAACTTTGTTTTGACTGTTTATGACATTTTGTTTGGAATGGATAATTTGTTTATGTTCAGTACGGCTTTTCCTCATAGACTTAGCAAAAATTGTAAGAGTGTTACAATAGCGCGTATAATTACTTTGAATGAATTTTGCTTAGTTGTGCAGTACTCGCTTTCCGAACCAGGCTATACGTTAGGCATTTTTACTAAGTGTAGTACCACGTACGGCCTTAGCTCGTCCAACCGTGAAGAGCAGGGCTCTATAGATTCCTTAGGAGGGGTGATCGGCCTACATATGGAGCAGGGCTTAATAAGATTCCTTAGGAGGAATCTTCCACTAAGTGTCGCAGCACATAAGACCTTAGATCGGCCTGCATATGGCGCAGGGCTTAATGAGATTCTGACAGATTGCTGAGTAAAAGTTCAAAAGAAATGGGAAGTCCCTTTTTATTGATGTGATTGACGTTACAAGGGGACTTTTTCCGTTTACTGGTAGTATTGCTTAAGGTGTTTGACATTCCAAGGGTGGGGTAAGGATCTACCCCCCAAGTCTTCCAATTCATATGCTCCTTTTAGCAGGACCTTCGTTATCAGATAGGGACCTTCCCAATTCGGACCTAAGCATCCACTGCCGATCTCTCTTGTGGGGAGGAATACTTTCCGTAAGACGAGGGATCCTACCTCAAATTCTCTTTTTCGTACTTTTTGATTATAGTACTTGGCGTTTCGCTGTTTTTAAACGGCATTTTTGAGTTCAGCGTTGTTCCTTTTTTCCTCGGTTAGGTCGAGTTTCGTGCGAAGAGCTATGTGGTTCCTTTCTTCGTCGTAATCAGTTATGCGCAGCGGAGGAATGTTGATTTCTAGTGGGATCACGGCTTCTATGCCGAAATCCAGTGAAAACGGGGTTTCTCCTGTGCTTGTTCTTGCGGTAGTACGATAAGACCATAACACACTGGGGAGTTCCTCAGCCCATCCTCCTTTAAACAAGTCGAGTTTTGCTTTCAATGTGTGCTTAATAATCTTGTTAATGACTTCGACTTGGCCTTTACCTGTGGATGGTTTGGTGATGAGAAATGTTTCTTGATGCCAAGCTCTTCGCAGAAATTTGAAAGTCGTGCGTTTTCGAACTATTTTCCATTATCCGTAACAATGGAGTGAGGTATGTCGAACCTGCAGATCACTGATTTCCACAAAGAGTTGGTTGTTTTCTGTTCAATGATGGTGGCAAGGGACTCTGCCTCGGCCTATTTAGTGAAGTAATCCACTGTGATGATGGCGAATTTTACACCTCATTTTCCAACGGGCATGGGTCCAATTAGGTCAACCCCCCATTTTGCAAAGGGCCATGGTGCTGTCACTGGGTTTAGTTCACGCGGTGGAGTATTTATGATGGGGCGAGGCGCTGGCACTTATCGCATCTTTTGACAAATTCAAGGGAATCTTGTCTTATTGCCGGCCAAAAGTATCCTTGTCGTATGATCTTGTGGGCCAGTGAGAGTCCGCCGAAATGATTTCTACATATTCTTCGTGAACGTCTTGCAGGGCGTGCTGGGCTTCCTCTTCGTTCAAGCATCTTAACAAGGGCGTGGAATATCCCCATTTGTATAGTATATTATCAATGAGAGTGTACCTAACTGACCTTGTTCGGAGCTTTCTAGCCTCTGCAGAGTTTTCGGCGTATTTTCCTGTTTTCAGGTAAGCGATGATCTCGTCTTGCCAAGTTGGTTTGGGGTCTATCATCATAAGGACCACTTTATCCAGCTCGATGGACGGTAGGGATATTCTTCCTACGGGAATGCTATCGAACTTCTCAATTCCCTCACGGGTGGCTAGGCGGGCCAATGCATCGGCGTGATTGTTCTGAGATCGGGAAATTCGTTTGACTTGGGTGGTTTTGAACCTTTCAAGTTCTTTTTTTAAAACTCGTAGGTAGTTGTCCATCCTGTCTTCTTTCGCCATATATACACCGTTGATCTGATTCATGACTAGTTGGGAGTCGCTGTGTAGGATTAGGTCGGATATCCCTAGTCTTGAGGCCATCCTTACTCCAGCAATAAGAGCTTCATACTCAGCCTCATTATTTGAGGCTTTAAAGTCAAATGGCAAGGCTTCATAGAACATGCGATGATCAGGGCTGATTAATGCGACGCCGGCTCCAGATTGTTCTCCGGTGGATGAACCGTCGGCATAAAATTTCCAAGGGGTTTCTTTTTGTTGTTCTTCAATTGGGACGTTGCAGAACTTAGAGACAAAGTCGGCGAGTGCTTGGCCCTTTATGGAGGAACGAGGCGTGTTTTTGATGTCAAACTGTCCAAGCTCCACTGCCTATTTTACCATCCGTCCAGAGGTGTCGGGCCTTTGTAGCGTTTGCCTCAATGGAGAGTTGGTCAGGACCTCAATGGGGTGTTCCAAGAAATATGGCCTCAGTTTTCGCGCTGCCGTTAGCAGGGTGAATGCCAGTTTTTCTACAGCCAAATATCTGAGCTCGGCTTCATGAAGCACTTTGCTTACGTAAGAAACTGGATGTTGAACACCATTTTCTTCTCGGGTTAGAACGACACTAATGGCGTGCTCTAAAACAGATAAATATATCTTCAAGGCCTGCTTGCCTTAGGTTTTAAAAGCACCGAAGGTCGGGTTAATTGTCTTTTTAGCTTGTTAAAGGCGTCCTGGCATTCTTTGGTCCATTCGAACTTCTTTCCAACTCGTAACGTGTCGAGGAAGGGTTTGCAGTGGTCCGTAGATTTCGAGACGAGCCGACTGAGGGCCGCAACCCTTCCGGTTAAACTTTGTACTTCTCTGGGTTTGGTTGGAGGCTTCATTTGGATGATAGCTTGTATTTTTTCAGGGTTCGCCTCGATTCCTCGGTTGTTTACAATGTAACCTAGGAATCTTCCAGAACTGACCCCGAAAGCACATTTCCTCAGGTTCAACTTCATTCCATACTTCCTCAGTATATCAAACATTTCAGTGAGGTGTTGACAGTGGTCCTTGGCCTTGATGCTTTTGACCAGCATATCGTCAACATATACTTCCATTATTTTTTCGATCTGCTGGGAAAACATGGAATTCACAAGTCACTGGTAGGTGGCACTAGCATTTTTGAGACCAAATGACATTACTCTGTAGCAATAAAGACCTCGATCAGTTACAAATGAGGTATGTTCCTGATCCGGGCCGTACATCGGTATCTAGTTGTATCTGGAATACGCGTCCATAAAGCTGGGTAGCTCATGTCCAGCGGTGGCGTCCACCATTTGATCTATTCTCGGCAATGGAAAGCTGTCTTTGGGGCATGCTTTGTTAAGATCGGTAAAATATATGCATACCCTCCAATCTCTGTTGTGTTTTTTCACAAGGACCGAATTCGCGACCCACTTCGGGTATTTCGCCTCACGGAGGAAACCGTTGTTCAACAGTTTTTGTACCTCTTTGTTGAGTACTTTATATCTTTCGGGATTCAGAGGTCGTAATTTTTGCTGCTTTGGCCGAGTTGAAAGATCCACCTGTAATTTGTGGCATGCAATATTAGGATCTATTCCTCTCATGTCACTGTGATCCCAGGCGAAAACATGGAGGTTCTCTTTAAGGAAAGCCACAATCTTGCTTTGGGTGGAGGGCTGCAACTCGCACCCGACTTTGAGTTCCTTTGTTTGGTCCTTAGCACAGACTCGAACTTCTTCTAATTCTTCTATGGGTTCTCCACCTTCGATCCTGGTCCGTAGGTCTAAGGGAATGAGTTCGGATTCCCATATGTTTACCATATGTACCCCCGAGAAGCTGCGTTGATGGCTAGCACAGGTATTCCATTGGCATCTTTCGGCGAGCTCCCTGTTTTCTTTGACTTCCCCCACACCATGGGGTGTGGGAAACTTGATAGAATAGTGATATAGGGAAACTGCTGCTCTCAAACTGAAGAGTAAGGGCTGTCCCATCACAGCGTCATAAGGGGAGGGGGTGTCGAACACCACGAACTCGGAGTTCGTCTTCAACTGTCGAGGTGCTAATCCAAACTCAACTTTGAGTTTGATTGATCCTTTGGCAGAAGTCAAGGCCCCGCTTAATCCTAGGACCATATTTGGGTATGGTTGAAGAAAGTTAGCAGGGATATCCATCCATTTAAGGGTGTGGCTAAATAGGATGTTCAGAGAGCTTCCTGTATCCACCAAGACTTTGGGGATGGTTACCTCGACTACAGGCAACGAGATTACCATAACTTCATGGTAAGGGTGTGGGTTTGCCTCCTTCTCGTCAAAAGTTAGTTGCTGTCTATGGCTTTTTTGAGATTCTTTTCTATTATGCCTATCTCCGAGAGATCAGCAACGATTGGTCTCTTTGGTCTGGCTTTCTTGGCTTGTGTGTTCATCCTACTCCTTAGCATGTTGACTTGTGGCCTTGGCAGGTCGACGTTGCAGGCCCTTGCAGTAGCTTGATCCCCTTGGATAATTTCAGTCCCGTAAGGGGTGGAAAATTTTACGCAATAATGATAAATTGACGTGGCAGCCTTTAGTTCGTGCAAAATGGGCCATCCCAATATTGCATTGTAATTGGACGGTAAATCGACCACCACAAAATCCGCTAAGATTCTTCTTTAGCAAGGAGCTTCGTCCAGCTCCACACTACGGAATATCTGACCTAGGGCTTCGATAGGATCCCCAGAAAATCCCTGTAGCTTTCTTGGATACGGTTGGAGGTAGCGGACTGATATTTCCAACTGCCTCAAGGTTCATGAGTACAGTATGTTGACCGAACTTCCATTGTCCACTAGAGTGCGGTGGACTTTTACTCCGGTAACCATCATTGTGACCACCAGGGCGTCACTCTGGTCTTGGAGGATTCCTTTAGAATCTTCTTCTGTGAACCAGAATGATTCAGGGTCAATGCCGGTCCTAGGGATTTGATTCCAGTAGTTCGGCACGATTTTTGCACTTCGGGCTTGCCTTCGCCTGACCCTTCTGGATCCTTCAATATACTGATTTTCGTCCACCATCATTTTAATTTCGGTATGTGGAGGTGGGTTACGGTTGGGGATCGCCTGTTGGGCTCGTGTGGGGGCCCCCGTAGCTATGGCTGCTGCATCGTAGGTCGATCTGCTTCTTTTGGCTTGGCAACAAACTCCTGTAACTGACCTCGTCGAATTAAGGATTCAACTTCCTCTTTTAAGTCCCAGCAGTTATCAATATCATGGCCCATCGTCCTGTGGTATCGGCAGTATCGTCCTTGGCATTGTGCGTCCTGTCCGTCCTTTAGGACTATAGGTCTGCGAAATGCTTCTTTTGTATTGGCTTACGTGAATACCTCTTCCAAGGAGGCTTTGAGTGGGTGGTACTCTCGGAACTTGTATGGGTGAGCCCTGGGACGTTCTCTTTCTCTCCTGTCCTTCTTTCTTTCTGGTTGAGGACTGCAGCTTGGTTTTTTTCTTTCACCTCATCACTGAGGTCAATTTCGCGTCTTGCTTCCTCTTGGTCAGAGGTTGCTTCTTCAGCGCTTATGTATTTCTCAACTTGGTTCAGGAACTCGTGATAAGTCCTTGGACCGTCCTTGTGTACTGACCACCAGAATCTTGTTTTGGGTCTTAGTCCTGCTAATACGGCCATGAGTGCCGCATCGTCAGATATTTTTTCCACTTTCATGGATTGCTTGTTGAACCTACTCAGATAGTTTTTGAGGAATTCACTTCTTCCATGCTTGATGTTCACTAGACGTTCTTTGGGTGTAGTTCTAGCCTTTGAACCCATAAACTGGGCCAAGAATGCCATGGCTAGGTCATTCCAATCTTTTATCGACCTTTCGTGTAGTCTCCTAAACCATCTTTGGGCTTTGTCACCTATAGTCAGGGAAAATGCTCGGTACATGATTGCATTGCTTGCCCCCTGTAATTCCATCCACGAGGTGTATTTGTCGAGGTGGCTGAGGGGGTCACTATCTTCTTCGTATGCGGCGATCTGGGGAATTTTCAATTTTTTCAGGCAGTGGTTCTATAAGGACATCCTCGGTAAAGGGGGAATGTCGTTTGGTTTGGTAACCTTCCATGCCACCTTTGTTTTTAACCTCCAGTTCGGCGATGCGTTTTTTAAGCGCGCTTAGTTCGGGTTCTGTTTGTTCCAAATGACGTTTTAGATCGGTTTGTCCTTGTGTAGGGGTCAGCAAGTGATGGGTCCCCAATCTGTTGAACACACTTGCAGTCCTTCTCGCCTCAAGTTTCTTGCTTTTGACCTCGTCGGTTTGGCTTTTTGATGATTCTCCCCTTGAAAAGTGGAGAGTCCTCCTGGTGGGGGGACACCTTGTCTTTATCCTTACAGGGGATTCCACCTCGGTATCTAGTGGGGACGAATGGGCTTAGCTCCTATCCAGTCGTCCTACTGCATTTGTTAATTTTTCTAGGGCTTCCCTCATTTCGATCATTTGAGGGTCCTGTCGTTGTGGAGAACTCAGTGGTATATTTGTTTCATGAGAGTGGGTGTGAGATGGATTTTTGGAACTTGAACTATGACTCATGGCTCTTGAATTTTTTTTATGGAGCAAATGAAACTATTTTTCACAATTAGGGGTCCTCCTTCTAGCGCCAAACTGTTGATGTCAAAATTAGCAAGGATAATTTTAAACCGACTTTAAGAAAAAAGGTGATTTGTGCTTAGAAAAGATCACAAAAATGTCATTTTAGTGTGATTGTGCCATAAGTCGTTATATGAATTTGCTCTGCCTTTACAAGGGTCCTATTCAACTATTTATACATAGTTTCAGTCGAAATTACATCAAATCAGCAACAGTGCCGAGCTCGAAACTCGGGTCATCGAATTCTCCTGTGATTGGTCAATGAGGCCGGTTGTCATGTGTCAATATATTACCCAGGTAATGATGACCTGTAAGGGGTTGGAGTTCGAGGACTTGGAATTGGTTGTTCCGGGCGGCGATGACATCACCTGTGGCAAGTGTCTCTGATTGATAGGATGATGTGACAAGGGGTAATCATGATATTTTTCTAAGATAACGGCGGGTAACTCCAACCTGGGAGTGTGAGCCGAACTTACGTTTAACCGAGGTGGGTTAGCAAACTGTTTTTACCATATTGGAGTTCGGATGTCAACATCATATATCATGCTGTAAAAATAATTTTTTTCCCTTTTTTTTTTTTGTATTTTTCAGTTTTCCATTTTTTTTTATTTTTTAAAACATTAATGCACCAAGCACAGAAAAAAAATGTCAAACACAAAAAAATATGCACTTCTACCTAGAAAACAAATAAATAAGTGTGATGCATGCATAAATCAATGATACACAATGATAAAACACAATTGTGCACCAGAAATACCTAATTAGTTAGGTATGTAAATGCTCTTACCTTTAATAGCATCGTGATCTATTTCAAGATTTCTTAGATCACTTTTCTTCACCTAAACCTACCTAATGATAGGAATATTCTCAGTCATATGTGTTATTAACTTGGTTAATTGACTCACGTGATTAATAAGGAAGTCAATCTGACTAACAAAGTCTTGATTCTTGTTTCGATTGAAGTTCCTGTTTCTATTTTAAGTTTAGGAATTTATAACACCTGGGCCTTATGTGTCATAACTCACCCTAATAAAAATTTGTAGGGATAAACCTAGGACCAATGTTATATGATCGCTGATTTTCATTCCTAGGTTTGCGGGTCCTATGTTGTCTAGTAGACCTCTGTCCTACAAATCCCCTATTCTTAGGTTCAAAGTTAGGCACATGTTTAGGCTAGTCAGTAGCAGAGACAAACGTGGCCTTGGACGTACTAGCAACATTATGATCTTTCTCATTATATTCTAGACCTCTCTTATTACTAGCAGGACTGTCAATTCCTAAGATGTTATCTAGTTTCATAGAACCACTAGAAAATGCAAGAAGTTGAGACTTGGAAAACTCTAGTTCGCTCAACATATTCTTATCCTGGACTTCTAAAGTTTCATTTTCAATTGTCATCTCACTAGCTCTCCTAGAAGTCTTCTTAAGCTTACTTGTGAGATTCTTAACCTCAGTATCTAAAAATTTGTTCATGGATTTCAAC